ACATAAGTCTACCCACTTGTTACGTGACTGGATTCCCTGAACCAAAAGTCACGTGGTCTAAGTCTATCGGTTCTTTGCCTGATAATCGTTCCGTTGTTAGAGATGGACAGCTTACTGTACTAAAAGCTAAAAAAGATGATTCAGGAATATATGTTTGCAAAGCTGAAAATCGTTTTGGATCCGCTTTGGGATCAATTTTGGTAAATGTTATCGATCTGCCTGTATTTGTTGTCAAGCCTCCAAAGACGTTTCCAGTTTTGGGAAAGAAAATCGTTGTGTTGAACTGTACCGCTATAGGTGACCCTCAGCCTGTCATCAGTTGGAGAAAAGACAACGGCGTTCTTCCTGTTGGTAGATATGAAGTGAGAGATGGCTCTTTGATTATAAGGAACGTCAAGAAAGCAGATTCGGGTGTGTTTGTGTGCACTGCTACGAGTGCTGGAGTTTCTCATTCACATGTACGTTCGACATTAACTGTACAACATGCAAACGATTGCGATGAGCTTTACAAATCAGGAGTGACACGTAGCGATGTGTACACAGTTCAACCCGACAAGCAGCCTGCATTTCAAGTCTACTGTGACATGACAACTGACGGTGGGGGCTGGACTGTGTTCCAAAGAAGACAAGATGGGTCGGTCGATTTCTATCGCAATTGGCAGCAATACAAAAGAGGTTTTGGAAACCTGAATGGCGAGTTTTGGTTGGGTAACGATTACATCCATCGACTGACAGCAAGAACAGCGTCGAGTCTGCGCGTCGAGTTGGAGGACTGGGACGGAACTAGGAAGTATGCCAAATATGGTAGTTTTAGTGTTGGTGATGAATCAGACAAGTACAGGCTGAGGGTTGGCTCGTATTCAGGTACTGCTGGGGACTCGTTGATATCTAATCATAACAACATGGCGTTTAGCACAAAAGATAGAGATAACGACAACGCGGGTATAAACTGTGCTGCACATTTTAGAAATGCCTGGTGGTATAATCGTTGTCAAGCATCTCATCTGAATGGAAAGTACCCTGGAAACAAGATATCGTGGAATTCAATTACTTGGTACACTTTTCATAAGAATTTTCAAAGTTTGAAGAAATCTGAAATGAAAATGCGTACTAGTGGATTCTAATACATGAGTAGCATAGTAAGATAACGCACAAGTTATTGCTCTTTGTTATTTGAACAGACATTTATCAACGATTTGTCATCACGTGTGTGTTACGTAGTGTTTGTAAAGATAGCATAGATTTTGATAGTCAATGCTAACTGTAATGATTGTATTGCAAAAAAAMAMAACAACAACAAACAAACACACATATGGTAAATGAGAGTTCTAATACTTATGTATGTGTGGTGTGCCTAATTGACAACAACTGGTGGAGCTTAATTAATAATAATAATAATAATAATCTTTATTGCTTATACCGCGCATGTTTCATGTGTATATGATCACATGCGCCTAACMGATAAAATATATAAATTACAATAAGTTCTTAACTATACTAGGCATTTAGATTATTAACAATTCAACAATAAGCAAATCCAATAAAATATATTTACTAAATATATAAAAATAGGTATATAAGTATATTTAATGTTCATAAGCTACTCTAAATAAAAATGTCTTTACTAAAGTCTTAAATCTGCTGTAATTGTTCTCTTCTCTAATGTTACGAGGCAGTGCGTCAAAACGTGTCGTAAATAAGAGCAAGAAGGATCATGGGAAGACAATTTGTGCTGACAGCGCAAGATTCTTTTCACTATAAAGCCTTTAGCAGCTTTTATAAACGAACTTTTAGTGCCAGCTGCTAGTTGTAAGCAAAAACTATATATTTATGTAATCATGATGCATCATATGATAGCTATGTTCATCCATACAGGTGTACGCACATAATCCGTGAAACAAACATTACTAAATACTACTAAACATTGATTAAACAATATAGAAAACAAAGGAATAATTACCACATTTTAGTGCTATTTTTTAATGTTTACGTTTCACGGTTTAAGGCTGTCGACTCTACCAGTGTATTTTGATGCATGACTCTGAATTTGTCATTTCTCTTTTTCGATTGTTTGATCAAACACGCGTGTGTATTATGGTATATTATAGTGTTTGTCAAGCTGTAATTAGTGTTTAATAGTGTCGTAGATGCGGATARAACATATTGTAGATCATTAAAATCGCACAATCAATCAATAAATATTTAGCTTTAAAATAATTTTTGTTAAACTGTGAAATACACTTTAGCGTTCTACACTTTACTGTTTTTTACTATATTACACTTTTTTTTGGTAATTTATTAATCAACCATTAACAATTTTTTACGATTAAAGAGGAAGACGATCAAATTGAAGCGTTGTCCTCTAGAAATTTTTTCTTAGTATACACTGTTTACAGATTGGTTCTCATAAGGCTAAAATCGGTTTATGTTTGTTGGTTGTTGTTTGTTTTTTGCGCCTTTTGAGTAATTTACATGTTTAACAAAACATGTGGAGTAACAAGCCACCATCTTGTAAACGGTGTATGTATTTCTGTAGTACCATGTTTCAAAATCAGTAGAGGTGGTGGTAAATTTTTGGCCAAAACCAAAAAAACAATTCCATATAACTCTAATCTCTTTTTAAGCCAAAAATGAATGTTTTAAAACTTCCTTATACCTTATGTAGTAAAAATACACCGTAATATAACTAAAAAAGTATCCATTATTATCCCTTTATGTTCTGTGAATGAATAGAGATATATATTAATTAAGACTCGATCGTAAAACGGACCAAGAGAAACGGAATTTGAACTCCCCTCATTTTCCATCCAAGAAATATATAAACCACGACCGCATTGAATGCCGGTTGTCCATTGAGGTAGGGCACTATAGACAGTGAGTACAATATGCTTTGAGACTTTGATGAATCCATAATCAGGATTACGTAGAAGACTGATATCATAAGGTCACCAAGTCTCGTATAAGACATCAAAACATGTTGAGACAGAAATGAAGACTGATTCATAGTGAAAGTATAAGATTTCGGGTCATTTTCATTGCGTCAGTCTTCCTGTTTGCTTCGATGCATATTTTCTAAAATATGGCAAATAAAATCAGTCATTCCTGTTTGGTGTCCAAGATTGCCATCACTTTATCGATCGTCAGTTTGTTGTTGTGCTGTGGTGTGTTTTTAAGAACAGACCTGATGCTAAACGAGCTGTATTCAAGAGACATAAAGCTGTCAGACAAGATGACTTCAAAACACGACATGAACGATGGTCATCGATTCGACAAAGATCATCATTCAGAGCGAACATTTGAGAAACAAGAAACAAAGCAAACCAAAGACGTTTTCACAAGAAAAGTAAGAGATGTTACAACTGTAGTCAACAGCACCATTAATGATGATTTATTATCAAAGAAAATCCATCAAGTTCTCGGAAAAGCAGTAGCCAGTCTACAAGGTGGCAAATACTGGATTCCCGTTCCAGGACCTCCCGGTTCACAAGGAAAACCTGGTCCAAGAGGACCGAGAGGACGCATGGGTAAATCTGGACGTCGAGGAAAGCGAGGACCACGTGGTTTTCCTGGAAAGATCGGACTTCCTGGTTCTAGAGGAATGGCTGGACCAAAGGGACCAAAGGGAGATCGTGGCACTTCCTTAGCACGTCCAACAGCACTCATTTCACCAACACATCTCATCGTCAATGAAAGCCAGTCCGCCATCTTACATTGTTCGTCTAGTGGTTATCCTCGACCTGATGTTGTGTGGAGTAAAATCAACGGTACATTACCACGCAAACGAGCAGTAGTTGATAGCACTGGCAAACTGATATCAAACACGTGACACCCAATGACTCAGGAATCTATCAGTGCAAGGCTTCTAATCTTCTTGGCAGCACACAAACAACTGCGAAACTCCAAGTGAACTTCCATCCACGATTAACGTTAGACAAAAGACCGATCTACAGAATGGGTAGCAATGACATTCGTCTACCTATGTGTTATGTGATTGGACACCCAACACCAAAAGTAATGTGGTCAAGGGTTTTTGGTATTTTGCCGAAAGGTCGTTCTGCTATGAAGGATGGGCAACTTACTATACTAAAAGCCAACCAAAATGACTCCGGGACATATGTTTGCAAAGCCGAAAATCTTCTTGGTTCTGTTGTAGGATCTATTATGGTCAATGTTATTGATCTGCCTGTGTTTGTTGTTAAGCCAACATCTTTCTATACAGCACAAAGAGGAACAACCGCAGTGTTGAACTGTACCGCTAAAGGTAACCCTCAGCCTGTCATCAGTTGGCGAAAAGACAACGGCGTTCTTCCTGTTGGTAGATATGAAGTAAAAGATGGCTCTTTGATTATACGGAATGTCAAGCAAATAGATTCGGGTGTTTTTGTCTGCACTGCTACGAGTGCTGGTGTTTCACATTCACATGTTAGT